TATTATTATTATTATTATTATTATTGTATTATTATTATTATTATTATTATTATTATTATTATTATTATTATTATTATTATTATTATTATTATTATTATTGTTATTAATTATTGTTATTGCTATTATCCTATATCAGTTGAAATATTGCCATTAATGAATGCTTAGATAGTAGGCATAGAGAATAAATCCTGAACTGAATCGAATTCCTGCTGTTAAGACGAGTTAATTGTTCAAGTATGGACAGTCATGTTAAGTAGCAGAGAGCAGGTAAACTCAATTGTTGTTACCTGCGGCACTACTACTTAGAATGACGCATCCTGGAGAATTATTTTTAGGATGATTTAGCTATTCTTTCAAACTGATGCTAGCATTTTTACAACAGAGGAATATTTATAGTTTGATTATGAAATCATAGAACTGGAAGATCGCAATTTCAAAAAATGATATGCTTCACTCGTTATATCCTTGCATAACATGCAAGGCGTGATTTTTATCGATATCAATTTTTCCAGGTGATTAAAACAAAGACTGAACCGGTTTAGGGTTATAAATAATTCCCAAAATGAATTCAAACGCTTTATTTAATAAAAGGAAAAAAATCACGATTGACAACTGGAGCACGCAAAGGAAGTAAAGCACCAAGCCGATAAATATGACCAAGATGACAAACCGTTATCGTAATGGTGACTGGCATCCATGCAAATCTTTCCACTGATATGATCCTGTTAGGGCAAAACCGAACAATTGACCGGTCGAAAGGTTGGCTATTAGTTAAATTGACTGACTTAACTACTGTTATGAACTGCAATTTAAAATGAATGGGTGGGTTAAAACAGAAAAATTCCATGCTGGAGAATGGAAAAGCGACAAAACTTCTGCTGTTTGGTTTGGAATTTTGAGGAAGAGATAAATACAGAACAGGTAGGATAACATGGATCTAACTAAACAGATATAGATGACAGATTGTCAGGATGACAAATGAGCATGTCCTTGCAAAAACATTTCTATATTGTATGAACAACTGCTTTCATTTCGTAATTACTTTCCTGAAAATTTTCATCCATTCTTTTTCATACCGTACCACCCTTTACTCTTATCCTTGATTACCAATCAGTCGTTTTAGCCCTCTACCAAGCAAAAAATTCAAAACAAGGGAATCGAGCCAATCACTGTACAACAGTAAAACTTACCTATCTCTCGGAAATTCACGATCAAAACAAATTTCTCGAGTTGTTCCAGAGAGAAAATGCAGAATCCCAGACTACCGTAGATTAGTAGTAATGGTGCAGCTGGTTGTTAAAAAAACTATTGTAGAAACAGGAAGCCGGAAAATCTTGACTAATTGCTTTTCAAAACTGGAGTAATGCAACTATTTTCTGGATTGTTGAAAGAATCTGACCTCTTGTTTGCAATGATTCTGATATTTAGGTGGAAACGATTTAACATTCAACATATTTCTTTTGGAACTTGAATTAATGTTTTGGAAAATAAAATTCAGGCAGTTAGTCACATATGGTAATTAACAACGAATATAACATCCTGTGCTAGAGGTTTGGCAAGACTGTCTGTCGCTCAAAAACAGGAACATTTATTCATTGTTTTTTCTTAATTCGTTTCAAATGTCATCTTATGATAAGAAACCTCAGTTTCATCGCCTTTCAGACCAACAAAACGAGTGCTTTCATTATCCGAATGTAAAACAAGAAAAGATGGATGAATAAGCGCACGAGATGTTTATGTTTACACTCCTCTATAATCATAAAAAGTTCGGCAATTTTCTCGTTCACAGACGGCAAAATACAATTTTGTATGATGGAAAGGAAAAGCAGAGGATGACGACACGTCGTGCAATGCACTACACTGTCGCTTCACAGCGCTTCGTTTGTACAGCTGCTTATCAAGCACTCCGTTTTCACTTTCTGCAATAGCTATCCATGCTTTTTATGGATTTGTCAAAATGCAGAAAATACATGAGACCTATATTTAGCTTATATACCACTCTATATAAGGTTTTTTTTTTCAACTAATCTTACCTAAAATTGACAACTACCATTACTCAAATCCTTTTCCTGCTTAATCTTATCCTCAATGACGGAAAGTTTTAGTCAAACCTCTTAATAACTGTTCCTTCTCCATTTCAGTCAATTAAGGAAATCAAGCTATTCTATTTGTCGATATTTATTTTTGGTTATCATCATGCTAATGGATAAGTCTGTTGGAATACTCAAGGCAGTTAGAAAATTCAGAATTTTGATCAGGTTTGAATAACATTCTCGTTGATTTTTGTTGTCATTCGTCTTTGAAAATTTCTCTCAGTGGTGCGCAAAACTCAAAAACGTTTGTGTGATGCACACCACTGCTTTTCATTTAATCACTTGTTTGAAGTAAAAATTGGCATAAACAGGAAAAAAAGCCTGTTCCTCTTCTGAATTGTTTTTCCCACTTCTTTTCGAATATGATTCATTTGGAGAAGGAAGAGAAATTAACGTATTTGATCAACACTATAGTTCCACATGAACAAAGTTTCACTTATTTTCCTTATACTTACTAGATTTTCAAATTTCATTATCCTAGAGATGGCTGAAACGGTTTTGAAAAGTGTGTTCATGCTCTGTTCTGTGAACTCATTTTATGACCAGTAGATAGTAAGATATAAATTTACTTCCAGTCATAAACATAAGTGGACAAGTACCGCTGCTTGTTTTGGCAACTCGGTGAAGTATTATGTTGTAATTTCAAAAAATAATTGTAACCATTACCTTATTAAACAAACTAATTAATTAATTAAGGAGAACGTATAAACAAAAGTGGCAAAATATTTTAAAAAAACTGCAAAATTGGATGGATTGCACTAATCAAGATATTGAAATGGAAGAATTTGTGTAACCGGACGGAAGTCTATCCTTTTCTATTTGGAAAAAGTCTATTCACTTTCAAATGTTAAAATATTTAGGAATAAATCTTATCGCTAACCAAATTCCATTAACTACTAATGTAATTGCTATATTTTATGGAACTGAGACAACATCATGGTATTTACTTTACGAAGAACAAATGATGTCAACAGTGTACTCCAGGGAATTTTGTTCTCCAGTACTTGTTGGAGCAGGTTCTCACTAATCATCTATCAACACTGAATTTTGATGAATAAATATAGTTTGCATATGAAGTGTAGACATTACAAATTGAAAACTTTTATCAGTTTATTCCTTGTAACACGTCAATTACCACATGTATCATATGTGTCTCTCTTCTCATATAACTCACATTATCAATATAAATCGTTTCAATGTCTTATTTTTCACGCTTGAAAATTCTTCCAGCTTTAGAGCTTATCCTATCGTTTTAATTGTTATCTTGATAACAATTAATTATCAATAAATGATTGTTATCTCTCGTCCTTAATAATATCAAAATTTAGCTCCAAACAATAACGATTGTTATACTGTGATAAGCATGCAACATTCGAATAATCGATTATCTGTTCCAGTAAAAGTGTCTATTTCCTCATCACCGACAAGATCATATCTTTATTCATATTTCAGATCCTTTAAAAAATTATCGAAATATTTGCAAACGAATTTATAAAAGGAATAATATTCTTCACAAAAGCATATCCCGATACTTTACGATTGGCTAACAGGGGGAGGCAGTAAGCAGCATGACATATTCTCCGAAGTTTTATTGGATAATCAGGTTGATGCTATGGTGCTGTTGGCGATATCGTAATTTCCCCAGTTAGAAGTACCAAAAAAGGGTAATTCGAAAAGCCTTCGATTCTTCGTCTTCATCACTTTTTCTAGCCCTTCGCAAACATCGAAACACGATTATCATTCACTCTGGTTAGGTCCTCAACAAAGTACAGTCCGACATTTGTTTCGAAAGATCACCATGATTCTCGAAAGATATTATATGGTGCCACTTATATACATTCTTATAAATCATAGCTTTTTTTTGAAAGTTTGGCAATTTCTAGCAGCTTTTCAGGAATATTACTGATTATTATAAATCGTTGAAAGCAGGTAAGGATTTCCTTTCGCAGTCACTTGAATATTATATTCATGGAACATATTTAGTTCTAGTGTTCGGGGAATCTCATCAGAAAAATGTGAAATCAATGGTACAATGTAGTTTTAAAAGGGAATATTGATAATTAAAATTAAAATGAATGGCATTATTGAGGATTAAATAATGCCCACCAGCCATACATTGAAATGCTTACAAATTCATTGTTAATGTATCCTAAATGTTAATGTTAATGTTTCAAAAAGGTTGGAATTCAACGTTGAATATGCCATATAATTTAATTTTCTGCAGGCATTTTTCTAATGAAAATGAACGAAGCTTGGAATCTTTCAATCGATCCTTTTTAAAACTATTGATTGCCCTCAGGTTTTTCCTTCTGGTTTTCGCAATGCAAAGTAAATATCCTCATCTTTTTATTTATGGCTTTCTTAAGCAAACATTTGTTCTTTCCACTTCTTTTCAGCATTTCTCTTATTTCCAGTTTTATTCTCTTATTGTACAGCTAGCTATTTTTGCCATTTTTCGAAATGGAATTGTTTCTTTTTACCTTTAAAAAGAAAATTCTTGATAATTCTAGAACTTGAACTTTGAAATTCATTTTTACTTTTATAGGAGCTAGCGATTTTCTTTTGATTCATCATGCTATTCAAATTATCGTTCGAATTATCTGCAATGAACAAGAGCACAGAATCTTCATGGAAAAGTTTTGTTGGAATTAATTAAAAAACAACTATGCTTGGAAAACTGAAACAAATACTTTTGACCTTCCTTGTTGAAAACTTTCAAAATTTCTGACCTCATTTGAATAGAAAAGAAACTAATTAAAATGCCATTAACTTCCTCGATGCAGAAATTTCCGATGTAAACGCTCAGCATATGCTCTCAAAGAGATCTTTTCAATATTTCTGAACGTTAATTCAAAAAATTTTGTCCCTAGAGCACATAATTACTATTTTGTTTCCGGCTAATCTTCAGTAAACATCCAGTAAAGGGAATTTTCATCGAATTCCAGGATGCTAAGTTATTAGATATTATTTATATAAATTCTTAGAGACATTTGCTGGAAGATAAAAATTTCTTGTGATAATGAATTATTCTCAACTTTGTGAAGTATTCAAAACTGACTCACCTGGACATGAACTTCTGAAAATTTTAGACTTTTCAGGGTGGGAATAAAATAAGTTTGCAGGGTCATACTCAATTTGAGAACATTATTTAAAACATTCATTTATTAATATTTATGAAGCCTGCAATTCAGTTTCTTTTTAAAGTAACAAGGCGTTTGAAATTCAAAAAACATTAAAAGATGAGGAGCTACAATAATGTTCCAATTGTTGAAAAATTATGAGCGAATTTATCACTAAAGAGGCAATAAGGCTGCAGTGATAACAGAAAAAAAATGAAAGTTCCAAGTACAGCAGTATTATTTATTAGTAATAGTTCTTATCAGTCAGACTACTCGCAATATAACGAAAAGACTCATCTTTTCATTGCATTCTAAAATGTCATTGCTATCAGTGTGTTGCAATGAAATGAACCGAATGAGGTATTTTATCATTCTTTTTTTATCATTTTTATCATTGCATTCATGTTGCCAAAAACCCTCTTGGACAACCAATCATTATCTGTGTAAAATAATACTTATTAGCTCCGGCCTTATCAGGTGAAGACTAATTAGAAGTGAACGAATTCCTCTGTTGTAGCCTGGTTGTATCTTTTTCAATTAGAATACCACTGTTTTACTTTTATTTCTTGTAAATTTTGGTGTTATTTATTAATCTGCTGGTAATATAGTGAGTACTGCCAAAAAGCTTATTGAACTTACACTTTCATGTAAGATGATAATAGTGCAAAGCTCGATATAGTTGATATATATATATATATATTGATTTGCTAAAATGTACAATAAAAACAAATTTTGTCTGTCAAAAACATATAATGCGTGCTAAATGTAATTTTCCTAAAATAATTGGATTCTAGAACATTCATCACTTAGTTAATCGTTTTATTTTTCTTGGCAAAAATGGCTGAAAAATTGATGATGATAAACGAAAGTAGCAATCAAAAAATAAACCATCACCCAGGTCTAAATAAGTCATTTTCACAAACTTTAAAATGGAAAGAAGCAACGCCGAAATATGAAAGACGTAAGTTGTACCTTAAGTTAAAATTGAAGCTTTCAATGTTATCTTAAAAACTATCGAAATTGACAGGTAAAGTTAGTCCATCTCAAGTCCTTTTCAACAAGCGGTCATTCTGTTTTATGATTAAAATGAATGAAATGATGAGCAAAATTTTCCTCGGTCACCAAGGACACATATAAAGAAAAGTAGAATTATCTTCACATGAATGAATATCCATTATTCTACCATGAATAATCGCACTTCGCGCACTTTTCATTATCAAATTCCATATTTCGCACCTAACGATAGTGAAATTTTTTGACTGTTGCATTATTTTATTATGGAGTATCTTAGCCGGGCAATATTGCTTTTTGTTCATATTTCTTGAATATTTTAGCGCTTGGCTTGAATGTGTATGCAAATCTAGATGAACCAACAATAAATCAAGAGGAATTGTACAGTCAGGAGCCTATTTCAACAATGATTCGAAGAATGAGTAGAACTAATAAATGGAATATGGAAAATGAAGTGAAGTGATTTTACGGCTTTCACACCTTATATGTTATCACTCTCGATCCCGCAAATTTTAGCAAATATAAAATTTAGGAGGAGAACATGGTAACTAATGCGAGTTCAGCAAAAATCGAAAAACTGGTTTCTGTTCCAGCACTGGCGTTCAATAAGCGTGATCACTTTTTGGCTTATACCAAAAAGGTAGAATGGGCTAATAAGCTCACAGAATCAAAAGGTGTATCAAGTTCTGAAATAAAAGATCTTGCCATGAAAGCATATCAACCTATTCCTGACAATTTCGCTCCTAAATCGAATGAACCAATAGTACAACAGAAACCTTTGCTTACTACTTCCAAGATTCATTCGAACATACCACGCCAAAATGATATGCCAGTGCCCAAAGAAAATTTCAACAAATCTTCGCATAAAAATGATGAAAATGAATACTACGTGATACAATCTGTTACTGCAAGATCTTCTACACAAAGAAGGTTTGTTATTTTTGATTCTATTTCCTGATTACTTATTAACCAGCTGTATATTCTACAAATATAATTAGTTATGTTATTAATATAAGGTTATGTGCAAAAAGTTAATTTGTTAATAGAATATGAGAACAATTAGCCACAATTAATGTATGGACAAATCCTTAAAAATGCCAATAGTGAGAAGTATACTGTGTTACCCCAAAAATCTTGTTTTGACGCTACAAGATTCCGTCCGTACTAAACCAGTTTGTTTAAACAAGTTCGACTGGTTTCGACAGTCTGGCAGCTACCGCATTCAGAAGTGATCCCTACTTAGAAGGAGAATATCTGATTGGTCCCATGCTGGCTGTTTTGAGTAAATTATTTGAGAGTATTAATATCATCCGGTCAAAAGCTCCTATTTTTATAATGTTGAAGCTAAACATTGAAGCTTACAAAGTGTCATTCTGCGTAGCCTAAAGAAATTCATCATTCTGGATGCCTCGTTTTCCGGAAATGATAAAGAAACTATTTGATGATGAAATGGTGAAAATTCAAATTTAGAATATGGAAATTACTAATGTGCATCAATCCCTTTCAAGTGTTGTTAAACTTAAAGCAGTATGCAAACGGATTAAATGTTGTGGAAGATCACTGTGAACATCTGATGTATTTATTGGTAGCAAAACTGATGAGTAGCAGCTATTCCGGCTTGCCCGCCAGATTTTTACATTCAATTTAAGATTTGATTTGATTATGTTCATTTCATTTTGATCGATCTCTCCAGATCTTCAAATTCATTTATGTAGCCATTTTAATTAATAGGATTCCACCCTAGAAACGAATAGTTATTTAGTCGCATATCTTTCTTGCACTTGTCGATCGGTCGATACATGGTGATACATGCTATTCAACGAAATCCAGCCAATTCGGATCACTGATGATCCCAGAAGGCATTTTGTTTCCACGAAATATTCGATTCACAAAGTTGCCATTATGGTACGCACGAATAAACTGCCTGTTGCAAGACACTTGAGTTCAGTCACTCCAACATTGAAAAAAATGCTACAGTGAATACTGGATATCACTTAACACCCAACTCAACAATTCGTAAGCCTATTTTCAGACCTATTTGCTAGTACTTGTGAGAGTCGAAACATGGTGATACGTGCTAGTAGACTGCAATTGAACTGGTTTCAGGGCTTCTTCTGTACAGAAGTCCGATGAATAAAGTAAAATAGGGTTCCCTGAGTTCCAACTCTTTTTTCTGAAACAGTCAAGAATTTCCTGAGTATAATATGTTATTGCAATGGTATATATAATGATATAAGGAGAAATTTCAATAATAAGACACTTGAAATGAATCTGATCAAAGTGTAGAAGACAAAAAGCATGCGGAAGACACACTTCACGATTATCATAGAGAAAACCTGTCATATATCCATCATCAGGAAAATTTCCCTTCAGCAATACATGACAGTGTTTCCGACAAAACTTCCTTCTCTCACCTGTCCCTTACAAAGGGCCTTTAATATTCAATCATAGAATTTTCTTGTCACTAGTTATAATTCTTTGATTGGTTTGTTCTACTGTTTTCATTAATTTGGTGTTTTTTCCCTTCATTTGTATAGTTTTATTTTCAAACGTTCTTTTTTGAGATCTCAGATTTCTTTCGCTACTAAAAATTTGAATGATCACTTCGTTGAATGATCGTTTCGCTGCCTGATTTCTCCATTTGTTCATAGATCCAGCAAACTATGCATTTATAGTTTGCTCTGCGAGCAAATGCGATCAATCTACTAGTCAGTGTACAGCTGGAATTATTTCCAGAATTGTTTGAAAACCAGAACTGGAATTCGATATCTCCCTATTCTCGAATATGATTTCATGATCACTGGTTAGTAACAGATAAACGAAACAACTCGGGCATTTGTGAATCACAGTTATCTCAGCTTGTTTTTCAAATTCAGAATTCGATGACTTAAGTTTGGCAGCCACATTAGGATAGAATTAATGAACGATTTCTAACACATACAGGCCAATTAGAAGGCAGACCGCTTTATTCTGGAAGTCAACAGTCACGTCATAGTGGGGCAAGAAACAGACATATGTCAGGATCCTCCAATATAAATTTGGTAAAAAAATAAAGTACCAAACAGTATGAATTCCAAAGAATGTTTTTTCTGAGAAACGACGGTAAAAAACTGCGATCACATTCACAACATTACTTCGTCGATGCATTTACACAAGAGCTATATGACCTCCAGAAAAAGAAAGAGACTAAGCAAAGAGTTAGATTTGAAGCAAAACAGCTTGGACGTGTGCTTTTTCAAGAATCCTCAACAAAAAACAATGTGTGATTATGTAGAGAACTACTGAACTATCCAGTTGACTAGACAAACTTGATTAGTAGTATTAAACATTCAGGATATCGCATTAAGTTGCTGACATTCGGTTAGGACTAAGTAATGTAATGTTCCTGAGGGTTCCATCTGGCGTCTTGTATGAATATTATAGTAATGAGGTAAGGAAGGAATGGGAAGAGAGAGAGAGAGAGAGAGAGAGAGAGAG